CGTGAATGAAGCGTCGAATTAAATTTCGTTGCTAAGGTTACTTAAGGTCACCATTGATCATAAATATAAATCCACTTCAAACATATTTTCATATTAACAGTTTTTTCATCAATCATTTCATGTATTATAATATAAATTATAATATAAATTATTTATATTTTTTTGTAGATTAATTAACATAAAAGAAAATATTAAAAAAAACTACAAGAAAACATAAATTATATAACTTTATTATATAAGTAGTTTTTTTCAATCTCAGTCGAATACGTATTAAAAATGTATGAATTATCAAGAAATAATCATCTACTGTAGTGAATCGGACTATGCGAGGAACTGCTACATTTCTGAAAAATTGTACTATTTACATAAAATGATACTGTAAATTTTGTAAATAAAATCAAATTTTGTTTATATGTGTGTATTAAGTAACAAATATTAATTTGATGTTTCAATTACATACATTTGAATCACCTTTTATTCTTATGTAATATTGCATTAAGGAACAATAATTTGGGAATAACGCAGCTCTTGTATTATATTACATAATAACAGCATATAAATGTAACAGAAACTTAGTTATCTTAACACAAAATTGTTTAGTTTTTATACTGATAACATTAATAAAATTCAATTGAAAGTAGCAGCGGTTCTCAGCGTTAAAATATTAAAATGTTAATGGGTCGCAAAATGACAGCTGTCACCATGTGTCAAAGGTGAAAGATTGTTAGCAATTGGGTCGCAACACAACTAAAAACAAGTCGTGCGGCAAAAAGGTTAAGAAACGCTGGACTGTAGTATTATATTACATTACAGAATGACAATTTGTGGATATAAATCAAATGTTAATTTGACGCATAAATTTGAGTAACCGCTAATTCTTATAAAATATTACTTTAAGAAATTAGAATTTAGGAATAACATAGATCTTGTATATTATATTACAGAATGACAGATTGTGGATATAAATATAACAGAATCTCACATTATTTATAGTTATCTTAATTGTTTAGTTTTTATATTTATGGCAAAATGACAGCTGTCACCATATGTCAAAAAATGAAAGATTGTTGTTGAAAACGAAGGATATTATTGCAGAGATATATGAAATATTATCAAATAAAATAAATATCTAGAAAAGTTTATTTTTTTCAATTTGGAAAGTACAAAACCACACTCAAAAAGGTTGATAAACACTGGACAGTAGTATTATATTACCGAATGACAAATGTTTATATATTTTTGTTAAGACAAATTTATGTACTTCTAATTCTAAAGGTTATATAATTAAGTTTAAATTTTATAATTTTGCAAAATTTATAACAGGAAGCGGCAGTTTTATTGTAAAGATATTTAAAATATTATCAATAATAAATATCTACAAAAGTTTATTATTTTTTCAATGTGGGAAGCACAAAAACGACACTCAGAAACGGTTTATGATTTGTTTACGTATTTACTTTTGCCTCTGTGTGTTGAGTACATTCATCTGGCCTGCATTCGAAACGATATTTACATATTATCACCACAAAAATAACATTTACACTGAGCCTTATTCCTCTCGTCCTTTGTGTATTTTGCACTGCGGACGAACGTTGTGTGTGCATTTGCCATGTCTGACAACGTTTTCATCGAGACCGCATTTATTACGGAATCACGTAATTACAATAAGTCGCATTTCCATGCAATACATAATGCATGCAATCGTTGTGCACTTACATTTCCTGCTTTTGTAAATAGTGAAGAATAAGAAGAGAAGAAAAAAGCGGACTGTCGAAAATTGTTAATGAAGCGCATGGATCGAATAATCACATTTATTGAATGATGACGGATAAAGTGATTGATGTTTGCTTTTTTTCCACTGTACGTGGAACAACTATTTCCACACATCGCTTTTTATATAAATATTTAAAAGTACTTTCTAGGAAAGCGTTCGATTGCTATTGGGAAAAGACGCGACGTACGTGTATGTAATTTTGAAGATGGGACAGAAATTTCACCGGAGCTTACAACGCCTGTCTGGCTCCTATGAATGAAACGAACAAAAAAAAATGTATATGAACAAATATAGAAAGTTGACTCAATCGCTGTTTCATGGGAAAAACCGTGCAAACTTGACTAATTATCCGTGATCAGTTTTCAATGTCTGCTTTAAGATCATTTAGTTCTATTTCCATGTTATTCCCAACAATTAAAACAAAATATTGTAAATATTTATATTCAAAAATGTAAATATAAAAAAAAATGTAATGAACAAACTTTCAAAATTTCTAATGTCTTAACATTAATAAAATTGCCATAAGATAATTTTGTTAATGAAAATAATCTCAGAAAAAGCTAAATTTTGTGAATATATCATAGTGGGACTTCGATTAGTCCGGATTGAAAACAACTAATTTTTTATTGAACAAAATAAAAATAAATTGTAATAATTATTTGTTATACATAAATAATAGTTTTTCTTTTTATATACATTCGAGTCTCTTATTGTGCGGTTTTTTTATATGTATTTAGTTCCTCAATTAGTCCGGTTTCAAACAGTCGGGCAATACCCGCAGTAAGCGAGGTTTGACTTTATTTGCTTTAATGATTACAAAAGTATAAGTATAAAAAAAACTTTGAAAATGTATAAGTCTGTAACGAATTTATCTTCAGGACTTTATTTATAATTTCAAGAAACAGAAAATAAACATTTAATGACGTTAGTATTTCTAAATTGAAATTAAATTATTATAATTTTATATAAATTTGCCCAAATTATTTGAAAAATTTATTTCTTCATTTCATATGGTTTTATTAAGAATTGTGCAGATGCGATAAAGGTTTGTCAAAATTTCCAAACATTTTAGTCATTTTTATATAAATATCTAGTGATAATAATTATGATTCATTGGAAACCATTCAAATTTATATTATCAATGATCACAAACAAAATCGAGAATTAATAATTAATAATAGAAAAGTATGAAACGAATTTTTCTGTTTTGCAAAAAAAAAATGCATTGTGTGTGAATCATGTTTTTTTTCTGTTATTATGTTGTAACCTTTACTTTACAATTATATTTTATTTGTCATTCTAAATTTGAAAATGAGTCAAATTCAAACATTGCATAGTCACTCTTTTCAAAGGTATTATAGTTAACTTCTTATATTTTTAAAGTTAATTATAATTCATTGAAACGAACAAAGATTTAATTTAACACAAAAACACAAATGAAATAAAAAAATCTATAAAATTAATGTTCATTATTTATTCAACAGTTAAATAAGTTATTAAAACAAAATAGAGTCAAGACTATGAAACTCTCAAATTATGTATAATTTACATCATAAAATATGCATAAAATCTATGAGATTGATTTATTTTGCTCTATGTAATTAATAGATTTTCTTTTACTGCGATTAAATGTCACTGTAATAAATATTCAAGATTATTATAATTTTATTTTAATCATATATAGGAAGACATTATGTTTTATAACAGGAAACGCAAGTGATTGTTACGATTTAATCTATCAATTATTATTACCGTATATAAATTTAATCTGTTTAATAATATTAACAAACTACTTATTGCATAATTATTATATAAATCGAAATGACGTGGGTTTAAATAGAAAAGTTTCCATAATTAATATTATGTAGTTTCATGTTTTTGAGAAAATAGTTAATTGCTTAATAAATGCTTCATAGTAATTCGCATTTTATAAATAATCGTAATAAATCATAGTTAAGTACGAAGTTTATGTTTGTATTCTGATTTATGTGATGAACATAAAATGATGAATTTATTTTCATATTTTTATTGACTTATGGTCGATTAATTGTACAATATAATTATATAAATGTTTTAACTATTGAATTTGTTTATGTTAGACTGTTACATTTTTTTTTTGTAATAATTAATGAAAGTAGAAATTTTGTATTTCAACATTATGTGTAAAATCGTTTTGTAAACCATTAAACTAGCATGTGTAAACGACACATTACTCTCTTCGACTGAATGAACGAACCGTCAATTTCTCATTAAAACGGAATGCGTAATGCGATATCTGTGCGTGAGTGTGTGTGGTACTTTCTTTAACGCATCGTTATCGAAACTAACGAATGCACACTCATAAAAAATTAATGTCTTCAACATAAGATTAGATTGTGCAGCAAAATTTTATTGACATTGATTAGGATGAATGTTAATTTCTGAACATTTTCGAAGATGTTTATCCAAGGAAAAAGTAGCGTTAGGTTCCGCAAACAAGAAAGAAACATAAATAGTGGTGGAGGAGGAAGACGAAAATAAAATTTAAATCCCTTTTGGAATAGTGTACTGCATTGTGTATGCATCTGCAATGAATGGAGAGGCAAAAAAACGATAGAAAGAAGGAGGCTCTTTATGAATATTATCCCAGCCCTAGGGGACCCAAAAATAGCACCGCAAGTGCTAAAAGATGTCCCGACGGTGCGTTGAACCTAAATACACCTCAAGGAATCCCAGAAGTAACAAAAAAGTAATAATACTGAAGAATACTACAGAAGAAAAATAAACCAATATTACAAAAGAAAATAAAAAGATAATACAAATTTAAATCAGCAAAATGAAAAATAATTTGTAAAAGACATAGAATGTTGTAAATGTCGCGAAAACTTTTACTTTTCAAAATCCATTCGAATGTTATTAAAAAAGCACGCGCGATTTCGCTTTCAAAATAGAAATTTCGTCGTTGCTCAAATTTTGTTGATGTTTATTTTTTAAATATTCAAGGTGTGTACCGATCAAAGCTAAATTAAGGTATTGTTCGATGTTTAAAGCCTTGTGATTCAATAAAGTTAAATTGGTTATTTGTCTGGTTAAATTCGCGCACTGTTATTTGCTTGTTAAGGCCTTTGATGTTCGATTACAGCGGATGGCAATAAATCATTGAACAATAAACATCCCTTTTGTTGGATCTTAATAAATTGCTATATTTAGCGGTTCGGAGCGATATTTCTGTGCGAGCGATTCTCACCTGTGTTGTTAATCCATAAAGAGCAAAGAAGTTGAGAACACTGGTTGTAAACTGCAGAATTCTTGAGCACTAGATTAATTGTTTGTTTTATTGGTATTCCTATCGTACGTAGAGTTTATAGTTAATAAACAAATTATTGTTGTCGCGATTTGCTGCTGCTAATGCTATTGTTGTTGTTGTTGTTGTTGTCGAGTATTGCTGAAGAACAACGCACGGTACGCTTCGTTCGAGCCGCACGAACGGAATGGAACTGTACGGACGAGTTATTACTCGGTCGGCCTAAAAATCCACTTCTCCAAGACAACTCTCCAGACTGGAGGCAAGCAGTATTAGCATTTAACAGTCTTTCTCTCCTCTTCTTTTTTTTTGCCTCTGCTTTTCTTGCATTGCTCCTCTCCTCCTCCACCACCATCCTTCAGCAACCACTCTTTTGGACGCGCACAGAGTTTCTTCTATTAATTGGACCAAGCATCTTCCTCATCTGCAAATTTCACTTTTATAGCGCTCGAAAGGCTACGTTACACATTTACTTTTTTTTTTATTTAGTCAACGAAATCTATTTTTAATTACAAAATATAAACTTGTTTATTTATTTTTGTTTTAATTAATACTAAATATACGGGTATTTTTGTGCGAATGGTGTAATTACCAATGTTTGAACGTAATGAACTTAAACTTTATATTTAGTACTTTTGCTTGTTAGTGTTTGTTTTCTTATGAGATATAATTGCTCATATTTCTTATCTTATATTTATCTCCGTTCATTCAAACAATTCCTCACAAAATGCACGCATTATTTCCAAGGATATTGAATTCTTTTTCCTGACCTAATAAGAAATTTAACAATTAGAATTATAATTAAACGTTGAGAAACTTTGTAATTATAATGAGACAAAATTGTTTATTTTTTGTTTGTTTACTTTACTATTATCTGCTTAATCATGTATAATACATGGATTAAAAGTTAATTACGTTGTATTAAAAAAAATACAAAAATATTATTGACAATATTTATTTCAGATAATGTTTTTATATATTAAGTCATTATAAATAATACAATTAAATTAAAACTAATTGCAATTAAATTATATTTGTGTTCGTTTTCAAAATACGTGGTGTTAAGTATTATTCATTTATGTGTTTACGTTTGCCTACTTTTTAGTTGTATTTAATATACTTAAGCTTAATTATAAGTAATTTGATTATGCTGTTAATTAGATAAATAATTATGCAACGACATCTATCGAGAAATGTAAATCAGTTTTTCTTTATTTTATAAAAAACAAATATAGTAAAAATAAGTACATTTTAATTAGAAACATGTAGTAATACATATTTGGAGGAGACATTAGGAGTTATCATTTTATGACATTGAGTAGCAAAAAAGGTCAGCAGTATCGTCATTCTCGTTGAAAACATATATTTACTATAGTTAAAATTGATAGTTTTGTTTTTAGTTATGATAATGACTAAGACTAGTAAACATGGATGAGTAATTCATTTTTTATATGATTGTGTCTGAAGTTCGTTGTTGTATCGCAAAAATAAATTCTTACTAATAATTAGTGCACATATTATTATGCAGTGAAACCTCGCTTAACGAGATTAATCTGTTCCAAAATATCCGAATTTTTACTCATATAATGAAACATGTTAAAAATACACATAATATGTGTACACAAGACTTCTCATCGTCACTCGTTATGCGAAATGTCGCTCGTTAAGCGAGTCATTTTTCTTACAATTCATTTTACTTGTTAAGCAAAATGTTCGTTACGCGAAGTGCTCGTTAAGCGAGGTTCTACTGTATATGTGTTTGTGTTATTATATAATTTGTAAAAAACGGGAATATTTTCAATATTCACTTAATCTGTCCCATAACATAATTAACAGAATATTTAGAGCGTAATATTTAATAATGTAATATTCTCTTCAGTAGAAGTGAAAATGGTTTAAATAAACTGTATATACCTTGTGATATTATTCACTGTGACAGGAATTTGACAGGATCAAAACAACTGTTACACAAATAAACAAAGTACATGAAACTTTGATTATTTTATAAAATAAATATAATTTTGTTTGTTGTTGAAATTTTCAAATAATTGATTTAAATTAGCGTTTCTCTACTTTTTTTTATTATAGGACCCATCTTAATTGTTTGTAGTTGTACTGCAACCCAATTGCTAATAGTTTTTCCTCCTTTTGACATGGTGACAGCTGTCATTTTGTGACGTATAAAATATTAAATTCAACTTATATATTGAGAAACGCTGGTCTAAATTAATGATACGTTCAATACATGTTAAAATACAATATTATCTTTTCAAATAAATTATCTTGAGTAGAAAAAATATGAACTTGTTTAATTTCGTGTGGTATTTGAATGAGTAGGATTGAAAAGAAAATTGTTTATATATTCTTGACCTATTTGCACCAATCTGCTGCTCTCGCTGCAAAGATAAACCATAAACAACACAAATGATCTTAGTAGGGACAAATCGGAGCATGACCGAAACTCACTGAAATTATCATTTAGTAACACAATCTTCTCTAATTCGTCTCTAATTAGTTGTACATTACTCTAAATAATTCGAATGTAACTTATAGAAATCTTGTTGTTATTCAAGCAAGTAGAAATATCTGAATATATTAGGAAGTTTCACTTTTAATTATTATTTTCTGACAAAAACATCTCCTCGTTTCTCACACTTCCAAATAATATCCAACACATAATATCATACACATCCTTTTGTATGCTGTGAAAAACTATATTTTTGTTATATTTACAACTTTCTTTCATTTTATTTTTCTGTTAATTTATATAATATTGTAAAATATGTAAATATTAGAATATAAAAAACAAATAATTCTTTGTTTATTGGAATAAATCTATAAAATTGTGTAACAAATTAATTTCTATTTCACAAATATCTTACTCTTAATGTTCATAGTGTCCAATCGAGTTTAATGTTAATTCTGATATGATAAATTTATGACTTTGTGTATGCTCTTAATAGCAGACATTAAATTTTGTTCTAGACCATAAAGAAAATTCAATGCAACTTTTGATTGAATTAAGTGCATCTACAAACAGCTGCTTTCAAAGCATCATGAAATTAATACAATTACTCAATATAAACGCATATGAACATGTAATATTTATTTATAAAGAAAAAACTACAGAAATATAGTAAATTTAATATTTAAAATCTTATTGTTTATTAATGTTATTAAACATTTTTTTAATACATAGAATGCAATGTAAATTCTTATGAGAAATTAATAGAAATGTAGATTATAATTATAGTTAAGATATGTGTGTTTCTCAGAACTAAAATCATTTTATAAATATTTGCCATGACAAATATTGCAATCAATATACTTGGCCTGGAAATGCTACTATCAACGTTTAAATAAGTAGATTGGCAACCAATTAAACATGAAAATATTATCTGTAAACAATTATTAAAAACTGCATGTAACAAGATGAAATATTGAACCTAACGTAATATAATTTTTGTATGTATTTATATGTTATTGTTATATAAACTTTTATATGAAGGGAGGTTCCACAATAATTGAAAATATTATAAGAAAATGTAAAATGTTATAATTCTAATTTAATATTCTTTAAAGGTCGGCAACCAATTGAACTTCCTTATATAAATTTGATGTTCATAGGCAATAAAAGTTAAACAATATTTGATTACTTTATAAGTATATGAACTTTATAATAATATGAACATACATTATTTAATTAATTTCTAAATATTCAAATGTTGTTTTCTTTTGAAATAAGATTACATTTTTAGCTTCCTCAATCGTAGTTTTTATCATCAGTTAACGCTGTTTATGATAAAGCTCTAGTACTAATACAGTCTTAGCACGTAGAGATTAAACTAAGCATAAAGGATTTATTGCTGCTTTTTATTAGTTTTACGTGGGAGACATGACTTGTCGGTGAGTTCTGAGGCTGAAACTGGTCTTGAAACCAAGTTCGCGCATCATTTCACTTCTTGATTAATTCTTCGAAGAGTGAAATGATACAAATACTGCTTTTTTATATTAATTTTATTGTAGTATTAATCAAATATTTTAATCGATAAAAATTTAAAATTATATAAAACTAAATTTATTGTTTATTCTAAAACTGAGCGTCACGTGGCTTAATATTTAGTTGATTTTATGTGTTCTGTCTGTGCACCCAAGACGAATCTTAATTTCGGGTTCGGTCAGGTAACAATTCGGTTCTATTCTTTGTCCTTACATGGTCCGATGGTAATTTAATGCCCATCCCACAACTCGTTTATTCGACTCTTCTTGCATACTTCCTTTCCAGTTCACAAATAAGAAGAAATAAATAAAGTAATAAAAAAGGAGAGTAAAACTGAGCCCTTTTATTCTCTTTTGGTCAACTCTTAGTTTAGAATTTAAGTAACGTATGTCAAATAAAAATTGAAATTTATATTACAAAACATAATTTTATTAATTGTTTATTAAGAAAATGTCAATAAACATAAATAATGGAAAAATATATAAAGTGAAATAAATGTTTCAATATTTATAGAATATTAATTTTTATTAAATTAATAATGTAAAAATACTAGACTTTACATATATAAGTCTAGAATTATTACATTACAGGTCCTGCATGCTGACGAAAAAGAAGAGAGGCTTTAGTACCACGACTCACCCCTTGTTTCCTATGTAGGGTTTCCTCCACAAAAAAAGAAGGATTATTACATATTTAATCACGAATTAGTATGTTGTTTGAACAAATTGCATAAATCCAATAACAACGTATAAATAAATACTATGATACAACTATATTATATACAGTTAGACCTAGTTTATCGCTTTAGGGATGCAAGTGCAAAATGACACAGCGTTAAACGAATTAACATTAACGTTATATCGAATCATCGTTAATCGAGGTCTTACTGTATATACATGTAGTATTTATATGTAATCAAAATTAATAATTAATTTGGTAAAAATGTTATAAATTTATATATTCAACTATATTAACACATTTGTAATCGTTTAATAGTTTGAAAGATATTTCAGGAATGTTGGGTTGAAATGAATGTCGATATTTAATATTTAAATATAAAATTTATTTGAGTTGGAAATGTATAAAAATGAATGAATTTGGTAGTAAGAGGCGAAGGAAATCTTAGTTTTTGTATTCTTTCTCGATGTGTTTGGCGATGGTGGTGAGTTGGATGTTGTAGGTGCCTTCGTAGATGCTTCCGATCTTGGCGTCGCGGAAGAACTTCTCCTGTGGGAAATCTTTGGTGAAGCCTACACCGCCCATCCAGTCGATGCACTTGATGGTGGCCATCTGGGCGACTTCTGCGGCGAAGTATTTGGCCATGGCAGCTTCCTTGGCGAATGGCTTGCCTTGCTCAACAAGACGAGCAGCGTTGTAGGTCAGGAGACGGGCAGCCTCGATCTGGGTTTGCACGATGGCGATTTGATGTTGCATCGACTGAAATCAGAAAAAAGTTAATTAGTTGTGACAGATTGCAGTGGTTTTGTTTAAGCTTTACCTGGAAGCTGAAGATGGGTTTGCCGAACTGTTGCCTCTCCAAGGTGTATGGGATGGTGGCGTCGAAGCATCCCTGAGCGCAACCTATCATCTGGGCGGCGATACCGATCCTACCCTCGTTCAAGAAGCCAGCTGCGTACTTGTAACCGTGTCCGAATTCACCCAAAATCTGGGATTCGTGGACGCGGACGTTCTCGAAGGTCAACATGCAGGTACCTGAAGCGCAGATACCGAGCTTGTTCTCTGGCTTGTTGACGGTGAATCCGGGGCTGTCCCTTTCGACGATGAAACAGGTGATGCCCTTGTATCCCTACGAAAGAAACAAGCAAAGTGAGGGAAGCACAATCAACAAACTTAGTCTGCTTACGGCTGATGGATTGGCGTTAGCCATGACTAGGAAGACTCCGGCGATGTCTGAGTTGGAGATCCACATTTTGGATCCGTTAAGGATGTAGTGGTCACCGTCCTTCTTGGCGGTGGTCTTCAAGGAGAAGGCATCGGTACCGGAGCTGGGTTCGGTCAAGGCGAAGCTGCTGACGGTGTCTTTGGACAGCCGCGTCAGGTACTTTTCCTTCTGCTCCTTGGTTCCCAACTTAATGATGACATTGTTGATGAGCGTGTTCTGCAGATCGACTAAGATAGCCACAGCCGGATCAACCTTGGACAACTCCTCCACCACCTGGATGGTGGTCATGAAGCTGCATCCAGATCCACCATATTCAATTGGAACTTCAACGCCCATCAACTATGGGGAGAGATAACAGAGAGAGGATACGATAAGAACGAGTTTGTGAAACATCTTTGGTTTCGCCTTATCTCGGGTCAACAAGATTTTAGCACATTCATCATCCAGTTGGGACGTAACAAAAGATGCAAAATCATGACCGCTCCAAGATAACGAACCAATCACGTCAGTTTTTCGTAATCGATTCCAACAACAAACAACTAATCCCAATTTCAAGTTCATACACACATAATAAAGAGAGAGAACGAAGCGAAGATCCTAAATCCAGCGGTCGAATTGGATAAGTCAAGGCTGTTATCCTCGCATGAATTGTGTGTATTCAATTAATCTTTATTTAGATTCCATTTCGTATCTCTCAGTAAATTAAACTCGCGACTTTCGCACATTCAACAATTGAATAATTGATTGAATCAAATCATGATTTAAAAAATAAAATAATTAATACTAATTTTTAGCATTTTAGTTGTTAGGTTACAAAAATCTTAACGTTTAATGATGAAAACAAGCCTCTTAACTATACGGAAGCAATTGAACTCGATTTCTACGAGCATTTATTAAGTGGATCACAAGAGAGTTCAAAGTCGAAATTGATCTCTTCTAAAATACACAGAAGCGGTTCACAACAGTTCACATCGTCCCAATTATTCTATAAACATAAGTGAATCTAGATATTAATCAAACACGCGTTTCCAAAACGTATTAATAAACTGCATTACGCTATAATTAATTACCAAATTCAAAACTAGTTTGTTTTCCTATTTCAATTTTATCTTATTTACTGACTTCAGATAAATTACGCAAATTTTTCAAATCTGTAAACAGTTAAAATACTTCTTAACATGGCTCAAATCTACGATATTTCAATTATAAAATTGTGAACAGTTTATGACATTATACAAAGAAAAATGAATATTTTTATAAACATATTAATATTTTACTATCAAATGTAGGTTGTTTGAATTTCCTCGACTGTTTGAGATTAAGTAAGGACGGATCTTATCCAGTTTTGAAGTATTGCTAAACTTTTTCAACTTATCATTATTTAGTTTTACTTGACTTTGTATCCAGTTTGAAACTAGTTTATTGTATAAAGTCACGACGATTCAATTTAATTTATTGTTTATGAATGACTGTGCTTTTTTGTTGTAAAATATTGTTTTATCTTTTAAAAACTAACTGTAACTAACATTTATGTAGTATTTAATTATAATTATAACACATGCTATGCAGTGAACGTTTACGAAAGTTAAGCAATATGGTTCAAGTATACTTCTTGGATAGATGATTTACACTTTTTGACAAATAGGCAAATGTCATTTTTGTGAAAGTGAGAACATTTGTTAGAGATTTCTTTTAATATTCGATATTTTTTTTATTTCAATAAATACATACATTTAAATGCTATGTGATCATGTTATTTTCTATTTAAACACAATGATTCTTTACAAAAAAGAAAAACATTTTTTTTCAATTTAATTTAATGAACAATTTAATTTCATTATTTCATTAAATTCGGTTAAGTTTATAATGTTTTCATGATTTATTCCAGTTTTACTTCATTAAAACGAAACAAAATAAAAGTTGGAATCTAAAATGATCGAAAGAATACGAAATTACTAGTTCATTTATAAGGCTTTTTTTACTTTAACTAAAAATAGCCATACCTTATGTAAGGTAATTTATCTTTTACTGATAAAATATTAATTTTCTCTTGTTATCTAACTGTTTTTTTTATCTTTTCGACTTAAATAAAATAAATCAAATGTAAACATTGAATATATTAACATTTAGATATCGCAAAACTATTAAACAGGTTTTTTGAATAATCTGTAATAGTTTTCTTTGCTAATTAAAATTTACTTTAAATAGATTGAGAAAAAAGTAGCTTTTATATGCATAACTTCTCATAATTGATTTAAAATTAATTTTGTACTTGCAACTTCGTACATCTGCTAGTTTTTTGCATTTCAAGTCAAGTATAGTGTGTGCAACATTTCATTTATTTTTATACTTCAATTACTCGAATTAATTGTTCTAATTTTCCATTCAATTATCGTTACGAATTAATTATTTTAATTAATGTGTATTTCTACGGTAATTTAGGCGTCAACCGAACAGTGAAAGCACTAATAAAAACTTTCTCTAAACAATATTTGCTAAATTTAATAAATTGATAAATGATGATATAACAAGATACTTCTTAGTAGGTCTACCAGAAGATCCATAAATTTACAAATTGTTTTTACTTAATATTGCATTAAACCCATATTTATTCCCAACTGATATGTTCCCAAGGTTCTTTCAATTCGTTTGAGTTGCCCACACGAGATAGTTTACATAACGATATACAGTAAATATGGCATGCACAAGCAGACTTTAATGTTAATTAGATTTTACTAACAAGTGATTAATAAAACATAATTTTGATTCCAACATCATCGAGTTCTTCGCACGTTTACACACAAAAAAATATAATAATACGCGAAAACACATTGCCTTATCTTCTGATAAATGCGTATTTACTTTCGTTCCAAAATAGTTCTGTACACGTGTAGTGTGAAACTCTTTTCTCGCTCTCCGAGCCAAGGACTTACATAACTTAAGCGACAATATGTTGGCGCGTTCTTACCCCGTTTTCGAAGAGCATATCGACAATTTCTGGTTTGATCTTGTGCTCGGCTTCCATCTCTCGCACGACGGGGCCGATCTGCTCCTTGGCCAACCTGGCAACTGGAAACATACATTATTCTTGTTTAACGACCCTCTGGTAATAATTTAAAAATAAATAAGATTTTACCAGTTTCCTTCATCATCATCTCATCTTCGGTGAGCTGGGTGAGTGGTGGAGGTGTGGTTGTAGCCTCGCACTGCAGCTTCGAGGTGGTGAGGAAGGAGCGTGTCCATGTCTTGGTGACAGTCGAGACGTTCTGAAGAACAATTTTTTTTTTTTAATTATTTTTATCCCTTTTTATTGAAATTTGGTGTTTCTCACTTGAGGTTTCAACAAATGCTTAAGGCTCTGCATTTTGAAGGTGTTTCTTAGTGGATTTAGCAGCAGACGCTGTTCGTGCGAGTTGTGGACTTGGAATGAAAGATGTATGGTATTAACAGCTTATCAAGTGGACACGCTAGTCGCACCAAACGGGTTTGAGTGCAATAGACTTATCTAGATAAAACGTCGTAGACGGAGATGGAAATATTTTCCATCATTTTTAATGCTAGTTACTACACCTTGTAATTTATTACGTATCCCTACTTCCACTCCTCATCCAGAAGAAGGAGAAATAACCGTGAACCATCTCTTAACATTATCCAAACAAATCTTCAATTTAAAAATTAGCAATTAATTACAATAATCTAAAACCAAAAACCATTTTTTTCTCATTTCTTCACACCTCAGCTAACAAATTGTTATTTACATTCAAGCTGAGACAATAATATTCTAATATTTTGAAAAGTCCAGTTAGTATTCTGTTTTGTGACCTTGCCTACATCCAAATCATCCGTGCCTCGACTATATCTGATTACATAAGCGAACGGAGGCTGAAAACGCAATAAATTCCATATCACAAAGAGCGTCTGTTTATATAATTTATTTTCAAATTTTACACTTCGCATGTTTGTAATCCAATTCTACGCTTTTCTGGCAATTCCGAGCACAACAATACAAATTGCATGGACTTTTACGTTTTCATCTATAAAACTTACATTTATTTCATATTTCTTTTGAAAATTTAAACTTTTATTGCCCTATAAAATAATTTTGTTTTATTCTTTGTAGATGATATTGAATAGATCTTTCAATTATTTCTAGTCGATTTAGATTTGTTTACTGCTTCCTACTTCTCATAAGAAATTATATTCTTAATGGAAGAAATTCCTACTTGCAAAGTTAACAACAAAATACCTGTCATCGAAGTATTTGTTTACTCCTCTCAAACACTTAATAAATTTCGAGTTGTGTAATTATCATCAAATATTGCATATTTAACATGTGAACAATTTGCAATAAATAATTTTCTATGAAGATTTTTTTTTTCAATTTTCATTTGGTCATCGGTTTTGTCGGTGCAATTCTTGAAAATATTCTCCGGACCTAATGAATTTATATAAATTGGAGTATAATAAAGGTTACAAATTTATTAGTTAGTGCTTTAAGCTAATAATTTAAGCAGAAATATAGGAAAACCTAAAAAATAGAAGAAAAGTTAAATTTCAAATATGTGATTATCCTAACGGCTATTTACCAGAACTACAAGATAATTGTGAAAACCGAGAGATGGTTTAGAAATATAGATAACTTGTATTACATCATGTTCATTATGAAATATGATTTACAAGTGTTGGGGCCAAAGAGATTTATATCAATAATAATTAATATAAATTTCTTATAAAAAGATTAATATTGTTTAAATTGTCGAAAAATTAATTCTTCTAGTTTAATTCTAAAATCAAATTGTATTGTTGGTTGCCTATAACTATAATAATTCTTGCTTAACTCACTTTTTACTGAAATCATTAAAATATCATTAAAACTTGACAATAATTCTCGAGACATACAAAATCTTAAGTTTTCCAATTTTTTTGGGTAAAAACTATTCATGCTTCTTGTATAACTGATAGTATATATTGTAACAAAATGTCTGATAATAATAATGACAAAAACCATAACCAAGAATTTACTTTGGTTAAATATAAGAAGAAATCTAGAAGAGTTATAAATAAGCCAATAAACAATTTACTATTAGCGGACCAGGATTTCGATAAGGAGACAGCAGTCAGGTAAAGCAATCAAATCCATCATATTTGTTGGTTATATCATTTAATGCATTTTTAGGAGGATCAAAGAAGCTAAAGCAGAACTTCTAGATTCAAATTTTTATTTGTCGATTGTCGCATCGTTGAGAGAAGGCTTGGATATCCTGAGAAAACCAAAAGTTGAGGTGATTATCTGCTTGGGTTTGGGCAAGTTCAGCGAGTGCATGATCTCTAGGTACCAATTTGCATTGTTGTTATGTTTGCAAGAGTTATTTAATTGTCCAGTACATGCATATGATCCTGCATTCACGGAGAATGAGACATCATTGCTTGAGGAATTTAAATTTAGTAATATCGATGAGAACAATGAAGGGAAGTATAGTACAGATGCAAAGACCACCTTTTTTTACCTCCCTCACTGTCCTAAACAATTGAGCAATAATCTGCTTTGGGCCAATTGGGGATTATCACTGAACAATTGCATAATTGTCGCAAACAGCTTTAACAAGATCCTGGAGACACATATGAAAAGAGTGTTAATGGAGAGTGCAAATTATGTTATGAAAATATCACCTTACATGGTGGAGTTAGCTATTATAAATTCCTTCAAGTATTATGATATGTTCAACGATACAAGTTTGCACATCTTTCCAATAGACAAACTGCAGTTGGTGTCTTCAGAGTTTTGGAGTGACAAGGAGGAGCCCAAGTACATATCGGACGTTGAATATATCGTTAAGAAAATGCAAGAATTATAGTATTTTATAATAAATAAACAAGTTTTTCTTTTAAAATATTTAACTCATTGAATTTTCATTTATACTTAGATAACATGGCTATGAATCCCAACACCCAGATGCTCAGGAGCATCATATCCGAACTTCGTAGGGCTAGCACCGGAAGCCTCGGGGATAATCCTCTGTTTCGTTATATTATGGGACAATACAGGAGGAATCAAACTACCCAAGAGCAGATCTGCAAGGCTAGAGAAGAGATGCAGTTTTTGGCAAACACGTATCTTTGTTATTTGCGAAGCAGCAGATTGCAGAAGGAAATCAGCGAAGAGTTTCATGGGAAAGGCGAGAGAACCATTGCGGAAACGGCCAAGATGGTTGGATTCAAGCTTCCCCATGATCCCAAATGAGTTATTGCAGATTGATTGTAGTTGCCGAATGTAAATTAATATAAATAAAATGTTTAGATATCAATTAAACAAATCTGTTTTATTGTCTATCAACTCTCAGTTAAAGTTCTGATGTTTCAAATATGAAAGATTCTAAATTTATATTATGGAAATATAGATTTAATACAATAACACAGATAGATTTAGAGTAATTATTTATTTAAATCCTCCAGGCATGCCGCCCTGTAAAGTAATGAAAGTATTAAAGCTGCACACAAAAAATACTGATTGTAATAAATTATATCGCATTAAAAGAAGTCACTAAATATAAAGCCCTATGTACTTAAAAAGTAATCTGTAAACTTAATTAAGTAGCAACTAAATAAGATACTATACAAGTTAGAAAACAATAATATGAATATGAAAATATAAAGATTCAGATAAATACTTAAAATAGATATGCACAGGTTTTTATATTTTGGTTCAAACATCTTGGAAATTCATTGTCTTAATAAATTTCCTTAGAACTGTTTGTAACTATTTTGGGCCAAATTTATAAGGACTCGATAATTATCCTATTAACTCTAATAGACTTGTTAATTCATAGTGTGCAGCTTTTAATTAAATACATAATTTTCTATAAATAATATGTATGGTAGAAACCATCCATTCCATTGGAGCGAATGTTGAGGAACCTGGCGTTGTTTGTGTCACTGTGGATAGAAACAGATGTATGTTATAGCATGACGAAACTAAATTTGAGGACTAAATGTTAGTATTTATTTTTATCGTTTTATATTTCTCTTATAGATAATAAGATAAATATTAAGATAAAAATCTATGTAAAATGTTAAAATATATTTATTTCTAATACATTAAGCGTTTAATACATATAGTGATGATATATAAAAAAAAAACATAAACTCTTTTACTTACTTCCCAAATCCAGAAGTAACAAACATTTCAAAATCTAGAAAAAAAAATGAATAAAATATTAATATACATAATAATAAGTAAAAATCAATAGCTTATACGTATGTCTGAAAACTAAATTACTTTAAAACTAAGTATTCAATTTTGATACTATAAATATAATCACATAAATATCAAATTGAAAACTTGGTACAGATGTTTTAAGATGTCCAGATGATAGCTAATTAGAAATCTGATTTTTTTTGATTATTTTGTTAAAAATATTAACGTGGAAGATATACGTTATTAGTTAATTGAAAATGTAGTCAAAATATAAAACTATTTCGATATAATTATATGAAAATATAGCGATAATAAACATGAAAAACATATTATTAATTGCAAATGTGGTGAAGCTCTTTTTGATGTCATCTAAGGTTTTCAGGTAAATGCAAACTAGTTATAAAGCTTAGTATTGAGATTTGCTAAATATAAAAAATTTAGTAAATTAAAAAAAAAATAATAAACATGAAGAAACACGTTAAAATATGTGACAGAACGAGTTAAAAAATTGTTTTGGATTACTTAAAAATATTTCATGGAGTCAATTTAGCCGAGGTATCTTTTGAATCGTTATACTTCTTTTCAATTCGATAAAGAAGTTTTTACTACATACCACCTCGACATAGCGGACGTTCGTTTTTATGATCTGACCATGGATGTTGTATAAAGGCATATTTTGAGAATCATTCCTGGGGTAGTACAAATTCATAGCATCTTTGCGATTTGCATATATGGGAACTGTTGTACCATCAATCAAATTTATGACTTTAGTATAAGAATTGCAAACAAACCATGTGACGACTTTTGATAGCATAAAAATACTATTAAAACACAATTTCGGAGCTGTCAGTCTTGGGTAGAACCTTAAGATGGAGCTATCAAAATTGTGCAAGGAAATGTATTTTCGACGTTGACGTTCACGCAAAATGTACAGTGGATGCAGGTGTAGCATTTCCAAGGACGCATACTTTAGATGAGTAAATTTGTCAAAGTCCGTTATAGAGTCTTTAATTGGAAAAGTACCTCTATGTCTTTGATCCAGCTCGTTTAAAGCGATATTATGAAGCTGCTTGATGCAGTGGTAGCTTCCCGGATTAAAGGGAAGAGGAAGATCCTTTTTTCCATTATCAACCACGGGCATCGTGTATTTATACGAGATCTTGCATAGGTTTTTCGTTACGCATTTGTCGAAGGATATACACATCTTCATATCGTTAGTCTGTTGTTGTATCTCACCTGTTTCTTTTTTCTTTACAATGTTTGAATTTTCTTCAATATCTGCAAATAGAAAACATTAATTACACTTTATTCCTATTCTATTTGCTATATGGATGCTTCAGATTATTAACTTAAGTTGATTACGTACCTTCCTTAAAGTCAATTCCATTCAACACTGCAGGGATTTCAGGCTCGTTCACCCCAGGTGCATAGACAGGACGGCCTTGATCAAAACTGATGTTCTCCGCTAAAGACATACATTTTAATCAGAAACGTCCCAAAAACATAACAAAAGGTACTTACATTCGAGCATGCTGGGCGGGAAATATTGTGGATGCATGACAAAATCGGTACCGAATGGTTCGAACAAAGAATTCAACCTATCTGTCTCGGTATAAAGATGTCGTTGGAATACGAAATCTAGAAACAACATTGCTTTTACATCTTAACATACGTGTATTAGCAATGAAATCAACAATTTTCTGCAAATATACAAGAATATATAATTTCTTGTATATTTGCAGCCTAAAATTGTTGATTTCATTGCTACAGCCTTATTGAAAATTCCTAAGAACCCAACCTTTTGGTGCTCTTCTAAAATACATTTTAAACTACCGTGATACGAATTGGTTGAATGGTGTATTGGTATAGAGTTGTGAATCCCTGATGTAGTGTCTAAAGTGCAAATAGATGCTGACAGTACAACTAAAGTCTTTAAAGAAACAATAATTATATATAAAAGTTACCGCAGGGGTCGGATGTCAATGGGGTTGGCGGCGGTGGTGAGATGGCTCCGTCGGATTCTTCAGAACTATTTTCTATATCGGAGTCATCCTCGGTATCATCATCATCATCAAAATCGCTGTAGTCCGATTCGTAATCTGTAAAAATCTAAGTATTTATTGACGGAAACGGAAATTGGAATGGACGATGAACGCGCAACAATTATTTATACCTCAGCGACACATTTACGAACAGTTGAAATTGTTCAAAAGAGGAACGTAACCAAACGCATGGTACAGCTTGGAAATGTGTCGCGATCTGAGCTCCTTTTTTTCTGCTCCGGAGATACCTCGAATTCGAAGCGTCTTTTTGGAGTTTAGGTGTCAGAAAAAAAAACAAAAAAAAATAACTTCTTTTCCAAACGTTAAATGCTTATCAACATTGCTTGTCTCTTGATAACAACAGTTTGTTATTAATTGAAAATGACAGAATCATTTTGCTTAGATTTAAGCTTGGACGAGATTGGATCAATACGAATCACTCACCTAATTGGATTTACAATATTCAAGCAACAAATGTGACTTACGAACACTAATTAACAGGTTAATGTTTGTTTTTTTTTTTAATGTCACAGCCTACTTCGATCTTTCAAAATCTATTAATTATTAACAAAGTAACTCGAAATCGATCATATAAAAATTACGTTATAAAAAGATATTATATAGAGTAATCGTTGTAGATTTTGCTTAACTTTCAAATCTGTCTATAGTTAAGCAAAATCTACAACGATATTTATTGGAATGGGTGGCTCAATAGATTTTCTTTAGATATTCAACCAGTGCGACGATTTTAAATAAATAAAGATTACATTATAATGAACAAATCTAAAATTGCATAATATCATCAATATCTCAATTCAACGTTTCATGACTGCAAAATGTTAATAGTTAAGAAATAGATAGAAACCATTCTCAAAGAACATGCACTTTATACATTAATACAATCATAGCCTTCTTAAATCATATTCATTTTGATTTTATTTCTCACATATAAAGCAGTGATTCTCATTGTTATTGCAGTAATTATCAAATTTAGTCAAAAACTTACTTGAGACAGCCATTTTTGTAAAAAAAAAAAACTAGTTAAAATACGCGAGGTCACTGGAATGTAGTGCAGGATTTGCAGCGCCCTCTTTTCTAGGTTTAGTGGCAATGATACCAATTTAACTATTTTCTTAGTACTATGTTGGCAACAAGAAGTAAACCAATATTAAAGTAATTATTGATTATTTTTAATGCAACTTTATACAAATAGATTGTACTTTTTTGGGTAAAAAACAATTTTAAGTTGAATTCAGTTTTATCCATTTTTTTTTTAAATAATGTTTTCCAAATTGATTCTATTAGTTTTGATAAATTATTGAAAATTAAATAATTAAGTTTGAAATTGAATTTTTATTGTCTTTCATACTGTCAATTGCCAATTAATATTATTATTAAATCAATAATAGTTTAATGAGCAAAAGAAAATTATTTAAAATTTATATATATTAAATAAAATTATTTATTTAGGGCAAAAATATAATGTGGTTAACAGACCTTTGTATGTTGTTATATCAAAAATTTTGTTCATTCATTGAAAGATATAATTCAATTATTTAAGACATTATTATTTAAAATTTAATACTATAAATTAAAAAAAAATTGCTTGACGTTTGTAATCAATCTTATCTCTTTTATATATGCATATTTTATACATAGTTTTTAATACTACAGAGAAAATTCTAATTCTAAAAAATATGTATTAAAGGTAAAAACACTCACCAAACAAATCTAATTCAGCATTAAGAATCTCTTCTCTGGTGATAGAAAATTTCCTGCACCCTTTGCACATTTTCACAGATGATAACAAATGTTATGAAAAAGAAGTAAACACGTCTGTCTTCGTCGGAAGATCTGTCGATATAATCTGCAGAAGCTAAAAGTTACCACCTTTTATACACAATACCTGGGCATGCGCCCCTCTCAAATTCTCAAAATTTTGCTTACAAAACAGTTTGTCATGGTTTAAGAAACACTGTAATCTTTAAACGATTATTGAAAAATACGATTCTTCTCTTGTTGATAATTCGTCAATTGTTTAAGATATTTCACGTAAATATTTAATAAACGTGATTCATTCGTATAAGCGAATAACGAAAAAAAAAATGTAAAATCCAATAATATGATGATTCGCGTAGAATTATCTTTTATAATACTAATTTATCAACAAATTTTATTTTTAATTATTGAAATTATTTTAAATTTAAGAAAAAAAAATAATTGCAAATATTATTTTAGATTATTTTTGTATTATTATTGTTCTTGAATAATATTTAATTTCAAGTTTATGAAGTAAATTAAAGTAAGATGTAATATTAATTGTAATTCGAGCAGAAATATCAACGATCAATAGCCATTTGCAGTAGTTAACTTTTTGGTTCTATGTTATTGTATGAAAAGTTATTATTATTTTAAAGATAAATTAGAGAAATGTGGCTTAATATTTTTGTGAATTTATCATCATTTATTAACAAATTGTATTATTATAAATAATTGAAATATTTCGTACTTTACATAAAAAACTCATTGATTGTGGTGAGTATAGTGAGAGAAAAAAACAAATTCTAAAAAAAATAGTACTCAAAATTATTTTTTTATACATACATGATCGTTTTTTTTACCCCTTTGTATAGTCTTTTTTATATATCATTATTGTTTCTCGATTAATCTGGTTTCAAATAGTCCGGAATATTGGCCGAACGGCTTATCTTATTCGAATAAGCGATTAACAAAAAAAAATGTAAAATCCAATAATATGATGATTCGCGTAGAATTATCTTTTATAATACTAATTTATCAACAAATTTTATTTATAATTATTTTAAAATTTAAGAAAAAAATCTATTTGCAAATATTATTTTAGATTGTTTTTGTATTATTATTGTTCTTGAATAATATTTAATTTCAAGTTTATGAAGTAAATTAAAGTAAGATGTAATATTTATTGTAATTCGAGCAGAAATACCAATGATCAATAGCCATTTGCAGTAGTTAACTTTTTGGTTCTATGTTATTGTATGAAAAGTTATTATTATTTTAAAGATAAATAAGAAAAATGCCTCTCTAAATTATGTGCCCCTCGAAACTCAAATATCCTTCAAATTTAAATATCCCACATTATCCCTATTCCAATACCTAATGTCCCTCGATTGATACACACTCATTTGTATATTATTATTGTAATATTGTTATTATTCCATAATTAAATTTGTGCTTCCGGGTAGGAAAGACCTTTGTCGATAGCCCTTTGGCCAGCCTAATAATATATTTTTTTAAATTTTATGTTAGAATTTATTTATTTTGAGAGTTGTTATAATTGTTTAGTTTTTATTATTATTTATTTATAGAATGTACTTTTCTTTTGTATTATTATTAAGAAAAATGTGGCTTAAATAAATTCTGAAATATTGATAAAATTTCTGTGAATTTATCATCATTTATTAACAAATTGTATTATTATAAATAATTGAAATATTTCGTACTTAACATACAAAACTCATTGATTGTGGTGAGTATAGTGAAAGAAAAAAAAAACAATTTCTAAAAAATTAAATAATAATAATATTGGCCAAACATCAATGCATAAGAACAATTTATACATAAATAAATTTTAACATACAATAAAAATATATATACTAATAGGCTGGCCAAAGGGCTAACGACCGAGGCTAAAAAATTATTTGACCGTTTTTTACCTCTTTGTACAGTCTTTTTTTACCTCTTTGTATAGTCTTATATCATTGTTGTTTCTCGATTAATCTGGTTTCAAATAGTCCGGAATATTGGCGGAACCTCTTATCTTATTGTTTAGTGTGAGATCACAACTATTATTGTAAGAAAAAAAGGATAAAATACTGTATAAACCTTTATTATAACTTGAAATTAAGAAAATATTCATAATATTTGCATTATTTATTTATTTAGAAACTTTCGTTGGCACTAATTTTATCAAAGGATTTTTGACCAGTAATATTTTATTAATAGGAATCCATGTAGAGCGCTACCATTGGAGCGTTTCTCCACCAATGCCGTGAGAAAACGGGCGTCAAAAATTGAATTGGGTTACACTCGTCATACGCCTCCCATTCGATCTCTTTCTATTCATAATTTATATGATCTTATGTTTCATCATAATTACAGTAAAACGTCGATTATCCATGTTAATTGGGGAACGTTAAAGCAGGGATAATTGAAAAACTACTGTTAATAACGACATTATAAACTAAGTAAACACTAACCACCACTAACTAATCTGAAGCACGGTAAATGGAGACACGAATAATCGTTGTTTTACTGTATTGTTAATTAATGCAAATAATATGGTTTTTATTAGTTAGCAAGAATAATATTTTCTTTTGTAGGAAATATTTTTTATTTAATTTTATTAAATATATATATTATATTAAATCATTTATTAGCGACTTTAAAAAAAAATTGTTATAAGAAATATTTTAATAAAATGTTGGTGGAAGCGGAAAAGTCACGTTTCAAATATTTGCTTTTGCGAAGTGAAAGTGAGGTTTTGCGCTTGGTGCAATAACATAATCCGAGCTCATAAATTGCCGGCTCTTTCAACTACATATATTTAAAGACAGTTTGCTTATAACCTGAAGTAATTCGGTACAATAACAATAAGTTCAACAAGCAATATTTTAAGAAAATTTAAAAATGCAAATTTTCATGTACCTTAATAAACAAATTATTTGTAAAACAAATATGAGTTTGTTTATGATTTACCGACGCTTTTAACTAAAAATATTTTAACAGATTTTCTACGTAAACTAGCAATAACTAGCAACAAATTAAAAATACAATCCGGGGTCGTTTATGGCGCTTTGAACTAAGAATATTTTAACAGATTTTTTTTTGTAAAATAGCAGAAATTTTCGTAATTTTCTTTGTAAAATAACAATAACTGTCATACTACAACACATTTTCTATTGTAAATCATTTGGGGGACGTTTATGATCTTTTAAACTACGAATATTTTTTTTCTGAAAATCACCAAAATGTATGTTTCAAATTGAAAAACTAATCCGGGATCCTGGATGATTTATTTATCTTTAAACTAGGAATATTTGAAGAGAATTTCTTTGTGAAATAGCATTATTTTTAATTATAATATTTGATTATGTACGATGAATGAAAATGAATATTATTTATTTATTTTATTGATTATTTATAGAAATAAGTTGTAATAATAAATGTAGGAGTAGAA